GAGAGATGAAATTTTCATCTAGACACAGAGTCATAAGGATGGAAGGTTTAGGAGGCTGACTCTAGAAAGACTTCTGTTCTCTGAGGCACCTTCTCTGGAATGAGATTCTGTTCCTGTGGTCACAGCCCCGCCGGCCACACGGTGGCAGTCAGACCCTGTGCTGGAGGCCCTGTTCCACTCTGCTGTTCCCTTTTCCCTCAGTGCACAGACGAATTTTACTGTCATATCAAAGAAGAGTTGTTTGCAGACTTTAAGACAAAAATCCCTGTTAAAATTCTAAATACCAGGTTATAGTTTCCAAAGTAGTGCTGCTTAATTTGACCATCCCACTTACTAAAGATGTCGCTGTGACTTTCATTTCTAGGCTGCCCTTCTGGGTGGTGGGTTCCTGAGGCCTCAGAGGAAGCTTGGAAGACAAGGAAAGGGAGGCAGAAAGAGAGAGGCTGTTTCCTTCAGTCTGGTGGCTATACGTTTTGAAATCTGGGCAAGATGAAGAATTTCAGGAATCTCTTTCCACATCAGTGGGAAAATGTAGAAGCCCACATGTTTCTATTATTTGTCACTTGTAGAAGCTTGAATGACAGGAAACCTGGGGCGCACAATACTGTGGAATAGTGTCCATGTGACTTTGAGCCCCAACTCTGTCTGTCCACGTGGAGGTGCACCATCCTGGCCCTGGGAAAGATTCTATCCGCTGGTCTGTCTTTATTTCCTTCCTAGTGGCTGCTCTTTGGGTGGTTTCCACCATGAATCACTATTTCTGCTCTTGCTCTGAGCGCAATCTAGTTTAAATAAATCTAGCTATGGTATGGCTCTGAACCATACCATACCTGGTGAGCCAGAGAGAAGGAAAATCAAGGCCAGATGTGCAAGTCTTGCTCTGTTATAGTTCAGAGGGTAATTACTACGGGTTTAGAATATTTCCATTTCCATTGCTGTTTTACGGGAGGAAGTATCTCCTGGAACTTAGCACTTTCACATGATACTCATTAATACGGGGGTGGGCGAGGGGAAGGGAGTCTCTGGCCTTAGGTCAGTAAAATAGAGACTTTCCAGCCCATTATGCAGCCCACAGTCCAGAATGCAAGAACAAGCAGCTGAGAGTCTGAAAAGAGATGCAAGGAGAGAGAGTACAGCTCAGTGTTAGAGCGTGTGCTTAGCACGCACGAGGTCCTAGTTCGATCCCCAGTCCCTCCTCTAAAAATAAATAAATAAACCTAATTACCACCACCCCCTCAGAGAAAAACAAAAAAATAAATTTAAAAGAAAAGAGAGATACAAGTAAAGGAAGATGGGCAGGAATTCTTCAGAGATTAGTAAGGAGGGTCCTGGCCACTGAGTGACTTTTGTGACACCATTGGTTCTTGAGTGGACAAGCTGCGGCCCATGGGTCTCACTTCAGCATCAGGACCGCAGAAAACTGTGCCAGGCCAAGAGGGTAAATCTTTTCCCTTGGAGCAACACCAGGAGCAGCGTTTCATATCTCCCCCCGGCCAGACAGGAACCCCAGATACACGTGACAAGGAAGGTTTTCTGATGAAGACGTACCGGTCAGAAAGCTCAGAAAAGGATCTTTTTCAATATCATCATGCCTCGTCTAGAATACTCAACTCTTGTAAAAGCAGTTAATTAAGAGGGAACTTGGTATGTTGCTTACATCTGTTTTTCTGAAAGAAAGAAAAAAATAAGAAAAAAGGATTAGGTGTGAGTTGAAGCCAAGACATTCTTCCCCCATTCCCGCTGGTAGAGACCACTAGAATTAACATGTTGTTTGTGGGAAGAGCATAGGGGCTGCATTGCTATTTAATATGAAAATAAGCAAAGTCAGACCCTCTGTCAATAGCAGGAAATAGGAAGGTTGTGTCTGGTTATTAAGTGTCTGATATATAGGAAGCACCGTGCCCAGTCTGAGTTCATTATTACAGGAGTCCCTATGAGGGAGACATCACCCCGGTTTTACAGGTAAGGATTTTACGCAGGAAAACAACATATTGATAGTCACAGATGCTACGTAGAAGCGTAGTAATTCAAGCCTATTTCTGTTTAACTCTAGAAGTCATCCAAGCGATTTTGAAAAGAAGACCAAACCCTTGATTTTTACATAGGATTTTTAAAGGGCTTGCACGAGAAAATGTTCTTGTTTTACTTTCAGTTTTATTTTTATTGATGTGTAGTTGATTTCAATGTTAGTTTCAGGTGTACAGCAAAGTGATTCAGTTATACATATACACACATGCATGTTTTTTCTTTTCAAGTTCTTTTCCATTATATGTTATTGCAAGGAATTGAAAATTGTTCCCTTGCGCTACAGTAGGTTCTTGTAATAATGTTCTTTATTATCATTTTTATTTTGCAGTCAGAAGCATGCTAAGTAATATGCAAAAAATTCAGCTGCAGTGTATTGACACTTCCTTTTGCACCGTGTTTCCTGGCAGGAAGGAGAAGGGTTTCTCTGTACTAGCTGTTACAGCTCACACGATTGTGCCGGCTTCGTTTATTTCAGTCGGCAGTAGAGGGCGCTATACTCTTTCTAGATTTTCTCATAGAAGAGCACTTTTCCATCCCCCGCCACCTTTATAGTCACCACCTACATCACCTACAGGGAAGTCAGAGTAATCTTTTGCTTTTAGTGGAGTTCTCACATTTGCTGAATTTTAGGCTTCTCTGACTTTGCATTAACAAGATGTTTTCGATCCTATTGTATTTAGCTCTGAAATGACAGAATTTCGGTCCTCAGAGGTTGCTGATATGTTTGAGTGAACATTGTCTGTATAAATGTAACGTTTTCCCTCCTAGACTTTACACCACTAATATAGATGGGAAGCAAAAGCAGTTTACAGAACATTCATCCAGATAATGGAAGGACAGGATTTTTAAGTTTTCAGGTTCCCTGTACTCATCCCACCTGACTCATTTCTTAAACCCTGATGTTAACATGTGATGTTTCCTAAATGGTTCTTGACATGAAGGCCTTTACTGAATGTGTCATCAAATGGTCCTAAATGATGTCTCAAAAATGTCGAGAAATTCTTGCATGTGTGCATGCACCCATATGAATAGCTGTCATATTTTCAGCCCTGTTCCTGTAAAGTAAGTATTTGCATGTTCATGAATATGGTAGTAGGGAGTTAGGGAAGAGAAAGAGCCAAGAACTTGCCAGAGACTTTATACTGAAATGTGAGGTCAGAAATCAAAAGGTGATGATGGCCTTAGTTAGGGCAGCATCTGCATTCTTGAGGTGGTTTGTGTCTCAAGGACCTGAAGACCCAAACTGAAAATGTATTAAACAGTTACTGGATGTATTACAGGATGTGTTAGAAACAGGAAGTCCAAAGGTGTGACTGGTGCAGGGCTGATTGGCTGTCAAGAAACTAGTTTCTCAATGAACAGTGCATATATGTGAATTTTTTAAAAATGTGCAGTATATTGTGTCTATGTATTTACATACAATATATTGTACATGTGCAGTCAAATTGTAACAATTCTACCTAATAAAACTGAAAAATGAAAAGAAAATGGAAAAAATAATACAGTTTAAAAAAAAACTAGTTTCTTTCTTTTGTGGGTGCGTGTGCTTAGCATGCATGAGGTCCTAGGTTCAATCCCCAGTATCTCCTCCACTACAATAAATAAATAAACCTAATTAACTCTCCCCAAAAAACCCTAGCAATGATATAAGTTAATTAACAAAAGGAACTAGTTTCTATCTCTTAGCTTTGCTGTCCTCATACTTGACCTTCATGATGACTATGTGGGTGTGAGTTTCTTGTTCACATAGCATCAAAAGGTCAGGAAAAAGATGGTCTCTTACTTTTATTACCTTTTAAGAAGTAGAAGAAGTTGCCCCTGAGCCTCTTTGTCCCCAGCCTACTCCCCTTTGCTTGACACTGGCCTCTTCTAGGGTTATGTTCCCATCCTAAAGCCAGGCACTGGGCGGTGTGGCTGGAGTTACCTGGATGGGTGTGGGGTGACCAGGATTTACCCCTGGGGGCTAGGGAGGGACCTAGTCTCTTCTGAACCCAGGGTGTTAGATGATTGAATAAAACTGGAGTTACGTCAGCAGGAATTCTGTTAGAAATGACTGTGGTGGAGGCGGCCAGTACTGTCTCCTCAGAGTTATCGGTACCCTGCCAGAAATGTAGGCAGAGAGAAGTGTCCTAGTTTTTGCTTTCTGAGCCAAAGGAAGAATGCCAGGATCTGATATTGCTTAAAGAGTTCCATTAATTAAGTCCTGTCTGTCCGATGGGATGGAAGACAACAGAGTGATTTAGATGCAGATCACAGCTAGCTCAGTGATGTCCTCTTTTACAATTACCTGGGGCATTTCTTTTCTGTGACGTGCTCTTGCTTTGCTCTGGGTGGCGATGGGGTGTGGGCAAAGGGGTGATGCGGGCTGGTGTTGGGGGTTGCCAGAGGTAGCAGAGGTGTTAGGCCATCACTGTTTCTTCCTGATTGGTGTCTTGGGAGTGGTCCAGCTCGCTATTTATTGTATTTACCAAATATGAAGCTAGAGACAGTTGCTATCACCATTAAATATATAGAAAAATAAGGTCGGAGGGGAGGGGATAGCTCAGTGGTAGAGCGGGTGCTTAGCATGCATGAGGTCCTGGGTTCAATCCCCAGCACCTTTGTTTAAAAAAAAATTAATAAAATAAATAAATAAATAAACCTAGTTACCACCCCCCCACCCCGAGTAGAAAAGGAAAGAAAAATAAGGTCGTCGTCTCTGGTGTTCACGAGGCATTTACCTCCCTATCCCGTGGCACCCTGCAGCTCTGGACGGCCTGAGTGATTCAAATGTGTGTGTGCAAGACGACCATCCTTCTGCCTGCAGGTAGCATTGCATACGCAATTTTCGACTTGGAACGACTTGTGTAAGGTTGTAAAGGCTTATCCACGGCCTTCCTGGACGATCCCTAGAGCCCCTGTGTTTGTGTACAGTTACCAGATGACGTCCCGCACTTCTAGGTAACCAGAACATTTGTTTGGCCCATCCTCAGGGACATACAGATCAGCTCCTCCAGTACCACCACGTCCGAGAGTCAAGACCCTTCTTCCGGGGACCCCACGGTCAGTGCCCTTCAACAGCAGCTGTTACTGATGATGGCTCGGAGGACCCAGCCAGAAACCCCACGGGTATGTTCCAGCATCACTGCTTGTAAACGCTCCAGAAGCAGGGATCTTGAAACCTGCTCCCAGGTTGGATTTACCCAACAGAACTAGTCCGGCCTTATGCTGAATTTTACGTCACTGGGTTGGGGCTATATCACTGCATGGTGGTCTACTGAACGAACGTGTAAAGAAACCATTTAGGTAACAGGTACCCTTCTGCTGATGCTAACAGGATTATTACTGTCTTAATTGCTCTTCCAAATGCGTTAGAAGTTTATTTACATTGATCTTTGGTGGCCGGGATGCTCACTTGGTTAGGACGGCTTTTTTTCCCTGTGGTTTGGACAATATCTAGATTTTTATTAATTTGTTATCACCTTATATATTGAGCTTCAGAGATTTTGAAAGAGAATCTTGGCTGGGAAGCGAGACTTTATTTTTGGAGCAAATGACATGACCATCAAGGGACTTGAAAGATGAAGCCTTCTGTTAATTTACTGACAGATAACATTGGTGTTTATTCATTTATTCAGTACACCTTTAATGAGGCTGTGGGAGGCAGAGCAAAGAATTAAAAAAAAAGATAACATGGGAGGAAAGACATACACTTGGTCCTGAATTTAGAGGTACAGATTCCGTCAGGGCATTTTGGAGAATGAGGGTGGAGAAGGCTCCTTACAAGAAGGGACACTTGGGCTGGACCTTGAAGAAAAGTAGATTTCAGTAGGTACAGATGGAAGGAAGAGCACTATAGATGCAACACTGTCCAGTTAGTGTGACGTTTCTTTATTGCTGTACTTACCTTCCTCCTGATAATGTTTTGATTTCTTCTGGAGAATATTGCCAACAAAAAATATTTTTATGGTTTTATATTTGTTTTCATGCTTGCTTAACCAAGTTTTTCCAAAAGATGCTACAGTAATTTATACACTATTGTTCAGCTGTGTGAAAAAAAAATGTCATAGTCCCTTCTAACTGACCATATGCTGTCCTGGACAGTACTCCTGCTGACTGATGGGAGTGGGGCACTGGGTAGGGAGGACTTGAAAGAGCCAGCGAAGGGTAACCAGCCCTCCCAGGCTTGAAAGAATTCCGGTGGGAAAAAGCATTCACTTAATTCAAGGAGTCAGTCTTCAGGGCTGTTCCCTTCCTTCCCTCCCTTCCAGGGCATCCGGATGTGGAAGGAAGCTTCCCAACACACTGGGAGGCCAGTGGAGGTGGGAGGGCGCCCCTGGTGGCCAGACCTGGCTTAGATCCCACTGGGTGGTCCCTGCAGAGGGCGGGCTGCCCGTTACCAGAGATTAGGTTCTTGTCTCAGGCAGGAAAGAATTCAAGAATGAGCCATAATAAAATGGAAGTAGATTTATTTAGGGAGATACACACTCCATTGACACAGTGAGGGCTGTCTCAGCAGGCAAGAGAGGTGGCCTCAGGGTATGGCACAGTTTTTATGGGCTGGGTAATTTCTCAGGCTAACAAATGGGAGGATTATTCCAACTATTTTGGAGAAGGGGCAGGGATTTCCTGGAATTGGCACCCCCCCACCCCGTTCACTTTTTGGCCTTTTATGGTCAGACTGGGAACTGTCATGGTGCCTGTGGGTGTGACATTTAGCAGCTAATGTGTTACGGTGAACGTACAGTGAGGCTCAATGTCTACTGGAAGTCAACTCTTCTGCCATCTTGGTTCTAACCAGTTTTTGTCCTGTCCTCAATTGCTGTGTCATTCTAAAATGCTTGTGCCCTGTCCCCTTCCCTCTTAGCCCCACCCCTGCCCAGTTGGGGTACAGTACCAGGGTCTCTGACCCTGCCATCAGCCCCCAGCTCTGAGGGCCCTGCATGCTGTGGCCTTCTCCTCTCCATGAGTCTTTGTGCTCATCAGCCTTTTCTGTATCTTCATGTGCTCCTGTGAGCTCAGCTGCATCCCCTTCGCTTCGTGTCCTGTACCCAGCCCCACCTCCACTGCCCGCACTAGCTTCTACCACAAGTCTTAGTGCAGGGGGGTGGTGCCTGCGGAATGTGGGTTTTCTCTGAGAAACTTGCATTTTCCTAAGACAGGCCTGCGAATGCATCCTCTCCCTACCGCCAGAATGTCATTACTAGAGGTCCCTGCAAGGAGGGACAGTTTATGTGAAAACATTCAGATAGTTTGGGAAGATGCAAATGCTGTTGATTCCACGAGTGGCAGAATCGTAGGGAAACTAGGAATTTTGGATTGTCAGAGATGCAAATCCATTGCCTTAATACCTCAAAAACGTCCCAGGTAGAGCAGAAACTCGGGAGTAGGTGACTGTGGCATGGATAAACCAGAGCCACGCTACTCTTCATTTTACACTTAAAATTCTCTAAGTGGCATCATAATGTAAATGAAATGTATAAAAACTAAATTTGCATGTAGTGTCTCACTGCTGCTTAACTAAATTCGCTGATAAACTTCAAATTTTCTTTTTAATATGTATTTTATTCAGTTCAGAAAACATTTGATGAGGCTTCTATTACTTGTAGACCATTCATTAGGCTAAGAAATAGATACAGAAGGGGATAAGACAGCTCTTATCCTTTGCAGTGTTTGTTTGGGGGGATAATTAGATTTATTGATTTATTTAATTGAATTAATTTATTCAATTTAATGAAATTGAGTAATTTTAATTAATTAATTAATTAATTAATTAATTAATTAATTTAATGGGGAGATGGAGGATTGAACCCAGGACCTCGTGTAAGCTAAACATGTGCTCTACCACTGAGCTCTCCCCTCCCCTCCTTGAACTTCAACTTTTTTAACTTTCTTAATTTTAGGTAAATTTTTTTAAATGTCCAAGTTTTACTCTCTGTAGGTATAGAGGTGGAAAATGAAGACTGCCCTCCAGGCTCCTCTTTAGAACCTCAGTAAATATTTGCAAAGATCTCATATCGAAAACAATTCTTTAGTTCTATTATTTAGTTTTCCAAATTTAATTGATACCACCAGGAATTTCAATTAGGTTTTGGCTATGAAATAAAAATTAGATTGGTTTCCTGCTCATTGTCCTGCATGTACTTAGTGAAGACTTACTGTACCTCAGCCCTGTGCTGGGGGCAGAGTAAACCATAGCAGAAAGTCCCAGCTTCTGCCTTCAAGCAGTTTGACATCTGGTCAACCAGGTCAGCTGTCTGGGGTGGAGATGTGATCGCGACAGGCTCAGGCGCCGTGGCCATGGAAGAAGCCCCAGGCCAGGATGCAGGGCACCGGGGAGACTTCCCCCGTGAGGTGAGATCTCAGCTGAAACATGGAGGGTGCACTGAAGTTGGCAGAAGAGCCAGGGTGAGGCCTGCGGGTGAGAGAGAAGCAAGTGTGGGCACTGCCTGGACCGAGGAGGCAGAGGGTCAGGGAGAACACGAGGGAAGGGCTGTTTCTTAGTCCAGCAGAAATAAGCAGGGGCCCCTTATCTCCCTCTGTTCTTCATGGTCACAGGAGTGCTGCATGTGTGATCTGGGAGACCCCCCCGCCTCACGAGTCACTGTTCTGTATGTGGGAATCCACAGGGGATGTGTAAATAGGTCAAGGATGAGCAGTGGTGATGATGACAGTCTTTTCAGGAGGAGCACATGGGGCCACCCAGGACTACTGTGTATCCTGCCCCCTCCTTATACCATCCCCTCCCTTTTCCCCTCCCCTTCCAGGAAGTTTTCAAGACCTCATCCCCCCAAAATACAGTTAAATCTGCCCTGGTCCTCTCTGACTTTGGGGACGTCCTGTAGAGCCGGGTCGCTCACCCGTCTCAACATAACAGACCTTCATTTGTGTTCTCCCTTTTGTTAGGTAGGGTTCATACTCAAAGTTATAAAACTGACTCTGAAATTGTTTGAACATATTATTTGTCAGCCATTCTTCCCCATCCTAGTTATTTTTGTCAGTTGTCCATTTTCTCATGGTTTCTCTCTCAACATTCTGTTTTTAACATCTTCTTGCACAGCTGGACTCACGTGTATTGTCTCTGTAATGGTCCTGCTGTGAAGGTGGCCTTCACCCTACGGGTGAGCCCGGCCTGATGTGTGGGTTCGCCTGGGTTCCCTGAAGTGAGGGAAACAGCAGAGACCGGATGTCGGCTTCCCACAGTCCTGGCTGCATGCTGGACCTTGGGGGAGTGATCTCCCCTCTCAAAGCCTCAGTTTCCCATAGTTTAAATGTGGATGATGACACTGATGTGGGAGAGTTATGATGAGGTTTTGAGGACTGGAGATGATATGTGGCAAAATTTAATGATCGGTGGCAGCGATTAATACCATCAGAATTCTTGTCGGTCATACAGAATTCTCGAAGTTTCCGTTATTTTGAACCGTAGAACTTTTCAGGTAGCTTGGGGGAGGGGTGGAGACCTTTACACTCTTAAATGTTTTGATTCTACCAAAAATTATTCCTGAAGTGTACTTTATACTTCCCTGCTTTTTTTTTAATTTGGAACTTTTTTTTAAATTGAACTATCACTGATTCTTCCCTCCCTTCTTAAACTGAATATGCTGATCATCATTCAAGTTGTTCTTGATCACTGAGATTCATGAAACAGACGTTGGTCTTATGCTGTCAACGCAGATCCATGTGGGGAGGGAGCAAAGGCATTTATCCTGTTGTTTTTTTGGAGGGGAGGTAATTAGGTTTTTAAATTTATTTATCTTTAGTGGAGGGACTGGGGACTGAACCCAGGACCCTGTGCATGCTAGGCAGGCACTCTACCACTGAGCTGTACCCTCCTCCCATCCTGTCTCTTAAAAAGGACTCATGTTCAGTTTACACCCTGTCCCCCTCCTTTACTCCTCTTCTTCTTCTAATAGTAGAAGAAAGCTGCAGGCTGACTTACTGGATGGGGTGATGTGGCTGTTCCTGGGTGAGGCTTACTTAACGGATCAGAGTCAGAAACGGTGTTTTGGTTAGTGTGTCTCTGCATTTACCTGAGTCATAGTTGGGAAACTCCCCCTCCGTCTCCACTGTGATCCTCACGCCTGCAGCCCCTGCACTGCTGATACCTGCCGGGAGCTCTGCCCTGG